TATGCAAACTTTTCAAAGTAAACCTTCCTCAGTGGTGGTAAACAAATGAAATATATAAAAATTGTGCTCTCTCTTTTGAGGGGTCAGGGGGGGATACATCGCTACCTGTGGAGTTCTGTAAACAAGGCCCTCTCTCCACTCCCTGACCCATTCCTAGGGCAGCCCCTGAAAGGGGTGTGGAGGCTCACAGAATCTTTAACAACATGGGGAAATAGGGATGTAATGTTACATATCAAAATCAGAATAATACCTCTGAAACCAATAATACATTGTATGTTAATTGAATTTAAATAAAAACAAAAAGTTTTTAAAAATCTGAATAAAAACCATGTATGTAGTATGTCTTAATTTTATAAAGCACTCTCAAACACACACAGCTATAAAAAAAAGGGCTCGAAGAGAACATAATGAAGTACTGATGGCTATTTCTTGGCTGGATTTGGGGGAATTTGTATTTTCTTTTTATAAGATTTTTGTGTTTTTTTCCCCAATTTTCTTTTAATTTTTAAAAAATATTTATTTATTTATTTTATAGGGGAGGGGCAGAGGGAGAGGGAGAGAATCTCCAGCAGACTCCCCACTGAGCTTGGAGCCTGATGCGGGGCTCGATCTCATGATGCTAAGATCATGACCTGAGCTAAAATCAAGGGTCTGATGCTCAACTGACTGAAGCACCCAGGTGCCCCTCCCCAAATTTCTTTAATGAACATGTACCATAGTTATAATCAGGAAAAAAAATAATTTAAAATGTTTCATTCCTTTCTTTCCCAATAGCTACCCAACATTCAGTTGGCAACAAAAGTTAAGGCTTGTCCATTTGGTGATGTCTCCCCATGATAAAAAAAAAAAAAGTACAATATATCTGTATTACAAGTTATGCTTAAGTCCATGTACAGTGTTTTAATTACTACGATTATATAAATATCATGGTTGCACCAAGTGATAAACAATGATTACATTTCCTCTTCTGTCTGCTCTTTTGTTTTACCTGGTGTTAACAATTATCTCATATTTGGAAAGAGAGGGCTGTGACAAGGATGGAACAGAAGAAGGGGATCTGGAGTGTTTCTGAAAGTTCTATCACTTGACCTGGATGGTCATTACAAAGGTATTAACCCTATATGCACTGAGCTGTACTTTTGTTCTGTGTGGTTTGTCTGTACCTGTGTTTTATTTTAATAAAAAAATGCTTTTTAAATAAATCATGTAAGAACCAAAAAAATGCCCTTTTTTCTTAATTTTCTTTGAACCCAAATTTAAGTCTTTCCATACAGTTTTATAAAATAAGAGTTTTTTAAAGATTTATTTATTTATTTTAGAGAGAGACAGTGTGCACATGCGGGGTAGAGGGGGAAGGGCAGAGGGAGAGGGAGAGAGAATCCTAAGCAGACTCTGCTAAGTGTGGAGCCCAACAGGGGGCTCAATCCCACAACCCTGAGCTGAAATCAAGAGTTGGACACTTAATTGACTGAGCCACCCAGATGCCCCTAAAATAACATTTTTGTAAATCTTCATATGATTTTTCATACAAATCTGCCAGATAATCTGCCTGTTCATTTTTCCTGGCTCTCTCTGGGTGCATGCTGTCCTCCTACACTAACCTGGATTGTTGCTCTCTGGGCCTGTCGCATGACATATCTGTCCTCACCCCCTTCTTGTGTTAGGTCCCCTTTCCCTTGGATCCACATTTTCTTTGTTTTCTCTTGTTTTACTGAAGCAAAAGTACATGTGATGTATATTTTTTGAGATCTGCATGTCTAAAAATGTTCTACTCATATGACTCATAGTTTGGCTGGGTATAAAATTCACAACCAAGTATTATTTTTACTTCATAATCTTGAGGATAATTTCCACTTCATTCTCACTTTAAATCTTGGTGTTGTTTTTTTTGTTTGTTTTTTTGTTTTTTTTAATATTTTATTATTTATTTGACAGAGAGAGAGCACAAGCAGGGGAAGTGGCAGGCAGAGGGAGAAGCAGGCTTCCCGCTGAGCAGGGAGCCCGATGCGGGGCTCGATCCCAGGACCCTGGGATCATGACCCGAGCCGAAGGCAGCCTCTCAACTGACTGAGTCATCCAGGCACCCCTCACTTTAAATCCTGTTAATAAGAGGTTTGTACCATTCATATTCCTAATCTTTTTTGTCTGTTGGAATCTTCTCTTCAAGGCTGTTGTTTTGAAATGTTATGTTTTTGTGCCTCTTGGTGCTAGGTACTGATCTGAAGACCTTGTCTTTTGGTTTTGGCAAAATTTCCCATAGTCTTTCTTTGATAATTTCCAACTGTGAAAATTTCAATGGGCTGTTAGACCTTCTGGATCTATCTCATTTTTTTTTTTTTAAGATTTTATTTTTTAAGTAATCTTTACACCCAAGATGGGGCTTAAACTTACAACCCTGAGATCAAGAGTCACATACTCCACCAACTGAACCAGCCAGGTGCTCCAATCCTCTAATTTTCTTATATTTTCTCTCCTATTTTCCATTTCTTTGTCTTTTTGTTCAACTTTTTGGGAAACTCCCTTTATTGTTAAACCCTTTTATTATTTCTGCTGTCATATTTTTTTAACTTCTAAGAGCTTTAATCTGTCCTTTTTATCTTGTTATTTTGTGAATGCAGTATCTTATTCTGAAGAACTTTGGTGTCTTTGAAATAGTCTCTATATATACCATCTCTGTTTTCATCGAGTTCCTCTTGGACTTTCTTTCATGTTGGCACATTTTTCTCTGATGTCTGTGACACTTACCTGCACATTCCTATTTATGAGTGAGGCGCTGAAAGCTGACTGCAGGTTCTGTGTACTTGGACACTGTTTGTTAATGAGTGTATTTCACTGTAGGATTGTTGCACAGGTGACCAGCTGGCTTATTTTTTCAGATTCTGTAGACCTAGTGTGCTTCTTCAAAGAATCATCTTCCAATCTCCTGCTTAGAGGAGGGGATGGGGGAGAAACTTGGCTGCCAGAATCTTGGAGTTAGCCAAAAAGGCAACTGCTGAATCCCACCGATAATCATAGTCTGTTTCTTAACCCTCTAGTTATCCAAACAGACCCTCACCACACACCCACTTTGTGCCTGGTATCTCCATGTCCAGTCTGGTTCAGTGTCCCAAGGGAACATACTTATTGTCCTCTGTGGAGGCAAAGGAGTAGTGACTTAGATTTAAGTCTAGAGAATGAAGTCATCTTGAGGGTCTAGCTGAAGCTTACACACGGATTTTCAACCACCACCTCCTTTTTAGGCTCCCACCTTAACCTCACCTTCCCTGATACCAGGTCTTCCAATTTCTGATTCTTTCTGAAATTGCTTGGGTGCTTAGGTTTGACCCATACCCATTCTTCCAGATGATTGCTGTTCCTATGCTTTCTCTGTTCATGTATTATGATTTGGGATTATAGTTACATCCTAGTTTGATTGAAAATAGTGACAGCTTTTGTTTTTTGTCCTCTTTGCTTTTGGAGTGATGCTGAGAGAAGAAATGTCTTCACACCACCATTTAAAATCCCTAAGTCTCTGCCTTGGTTTTTACCTATAACTGTGTTTATATTTTTGGTTTCCTGTATCCTCCAAATTTTCTACAATAAACATGTATCACTTTAATAATAAGAAAACACACACACAGAGTTATCCAAAGACAAAAAGGCCCAAGAAGGCCTAGAGAACCCAATCCTGCATTTCCCTTCCTCTTTTGCTGAGCCAGTTGGGCCTAAGAAGCCCCCTCTTCTTTCATACCTCATCTTCCTGACACTATGCAGCCATCCATGTGGCCTCAGGCGCCTGTTGGAGAGAACACAGCCTCCAGGGAGGACATTCTTGGCTTCCTCATCCGTGGGTGCAGCCTTTGCCAACCATGCAAGCTAATTTGCATGCAGTGTGGATCCCTTAATGCATTCTGATGGTCATGCGTCCAAAGGCACAAGTTTTTTTTTATAAAAAGAGAATTCAGTGTGGTGTGTGTGTGTGGTGTTTTGCCACTGCATCCACAGGTTTTCATTCCCACTGATGCCATTCCAGTCAATAGGGGTGAGCATTAGCTAGGTATTCTCCATTACTACTTCCTACAGACCTGTCCAGTCCCTCCACTTGGACATATAAGTGGCCCTTATGAAGTAGGCCCTGGGCCCTTGAACACTCTTAAGCTTCACTGCCTCTACCAGGTCTAAGAGAATCAGAGACCCCAAGATCTAACACCCCACAAATTCCCATAAGCTCTGGACTCATTATGTTAACAGGAACCCAGTGAGAAATCCCAAAGCAGAAGTACTCATATGTCTCTGGAGCTCTCTCTGATCAGGCTCCACCCTGGCCTGAGGACACTGCTACTTCCTTCGTCCCAGTGAGCACAGGGATTCCAGGACTCAGGCGGGGCCAGGAATGCTCCAGTCCTCCTCCTTCCCACTAGGATCACAGGCTTTAAAGCCTGACCTACATGTAGGATTCGCTGGGAGTCCTAGGAGAATTGATCCAGCCAATTAAGTTGGGAAATTGTTCTTTGAATTTAACATGTCCATCCACTCATTTGTGACTTGGTGGGCTGAGGCTTCGAGGTTATTTTTACTTAATCCAGCAAAAAACGATATTGGGCTTCTCCCACTTCACCGGTTTATTCATTTTTTCAGTCAGTTTTGGTTTTTATTAAACTTAGCCTTATAAATACCTCATAAAATAACCCTCATCAATACTCCCCTGTTGGACTCACGCATTTCCATTCTGGAGCTATTGCCTAGAAGAGCTGCTAAGGGACCAGGCAGAAAAATCTCCAGTCGTGTTGCCTTTGGTGTGTACCTTGTGTCCCTACTTGAGAATTTGTCCCTAAAAAGGTTTGGAGCAACATGTGTGTATGCACATATTCTCACAAGTGGGAAGATACCCTCTATGAAAATCCAATTCTATGTGGATCATTCCCTCCACCCTGAGAAGACCATCTATTACCCCAGTGCAATGCTCTGCTTGACTAGCCCACACCAAGAGGAGCCCACACACATACACACAAAGAATTACATTTGGAGACCAGATATCATCTTTAATTAATAATGCCACAGCCCAACATCCTTTTTGTTGCTGTAGCATGTTGAGTGTGTGTGTGTGTGTGCGTGTGTGCGTGTTCCTGAACAGATGAAGGGCCTGAGACTCCCAAGCAGGTCTCAGCCAACAGCTCTACTGAGCAGCGACTGGAAGATGGTCTCCACAGTGGCACAGAGGGTTGACTCCTGCCTCCCTTTCTCTTGGACCACCTTTCCTGCATTCTGAGGGCAAAGCTGAAGCCTGTCCCAGCCCAGACTAAAGGGCTTCTTAGCAAAGATCAATCTTCAGTCCCCAGCCCTCACTGCCTCTGACCAGAAGGATGTCCCTGGGCAAAGTACAGACTGCTAGGCAAAGGTGGACAACCTGGGCCAGCCTTGGTCCCCAGGTCACACTGGGGCAGCACTACAGTGGCCCGGCCCTGGGCGGAGAATCCAGAGCTTCTGGGGCCATTTGCTTAGTTCCTCTCACAGATAATCAGGGTAGATCCCAGGCCCTTCCTGGGGCCAGCCAGAGAGGGACAGCCTCGGCCCGTCAGGGCCACATGAGCATCATTTCCAGCCCAAACCTAAGAGCCTGCTCAGTCATCTCCACTCTCCAGTTCCTCGCATGCCCAGTAGGTCCACAGCCCAGACACGGCAGGGGAGATCAGCACGGTAGTGGGTCGCAAGGAGGCCATGAGAGACCTGGGCTGAGCTGGAACTCCAGCCATGTGCCAGCCTGAAGCCAGCCCTCTCCCCCATGGTCACCGCCAGCCAGAGCTCTTTGAAGTCGGATGGGACCCCCACAGGCAAGGCGGCAAGTTCTTGGCCAGGTGCAGAAGGAGAAAACCAAACTGGCTCCACCGTCCCGTTTCCACCTGCTCTGTGCCTTAAGAAGGCAAGGAGCCCAAGTCCCCAGGACAGTGTTATCAGCTGTTGGGGAAGCACCGTTGTCCAGGTGAGGCCTCAGGCCGGAAGCTGTGTTTGTTCAGTGGGCTGGGATAGTAGGTGGTTGTGTATACATTGGTCTGCTGCAATGGGTAGAAACTGGCTCTGTCATCGGGGATCAGGTTATTCTTGTTCAGGGTCTGTGGAGGAAGGAAGGAACCGGAGAGGAAGGGGTAAGGGAGAGGTGGGGAAAGGCGACGGGCCAGGGCAAGGCGGTCAGGAACCAGTCAGTGAGCAAACATTCTGGCCGCTGACACAGTTCACCGCACCCTGCGCCCTCCCCAGTGCCCAGCCCAGCTGCGCCCAGCTCCGGGCCAGAACCACGGCACCCTGCACCCTGCACTCAGCCTCTACATGAAGGCTCCCACCTTGAACTCCATGGGTGTGTACTTCTCGTTCTTGGGGGTGCCCCCACCCTTGTAGTGCAGGTGGTTGGGGGTGGCAGGGTGGACGAGTGTGGATTCCTGGGACTGGCGCCGGCAGTGCTGGCAGGACAGGTACACGGCCAAGGTCAGCAGCCCAGAGCCCAGGAAGCAGGAGACGCCTGTGGCTACCAGGTGGATGAGACTGAACCCTGGGAGAGGCGGAAGCAAATGGTAAGGAAAGGGCCACCACGAAGAGGAGAGACTCCACTCCTGACCGCCTCCCAACAGGAGGCTCTGAGACATAAAGGAAAGGGCTTTGAGGCCAGACCCAACGGAAACAGGAAGGCCAGGCAGCCGGCCACCAGGGGCCTCTCTCACAGGACACCTGTGGTTTAGGTCAGAGGAAGCAACCAGAGGGTGTGGAGTTGGGTGACTCTTCTTGAATACAGACTCGATGACTGCCTCCTAGCTGGGGGGCAGAGATGGAACCTCCCAGGCCCCCCTATACATGGTCCAGAGCAGCCAGGACCTCCGCAAGGTTTGTCTCTCTGGAGCAGGAAGTGGAGAGACTCCAGATGTCAGAGTTGGGCTGGTCTCCTCTTTGGGGAGGAGAGGTGGAAAGACAGCGTCACGAGGTGGGCAGGGTCCTTTTACCTCCACAGCTGGTGGCCTCCTCCATGCTGGAGGCAGGCAGGATCACTGCAGGAAGACAAGCAAAGAGAGTGTTGGGGCAGGGAGGAGAGAAGGGTCCCTCTGGGGCTAGGTATATCTCTAGGAGGGTCCCTGGGTCAGCACTGAGCCGCGTGGGACGTGGTCTGGGGGCCTTCATTCCACTCTGTCCCCACTCAGACCTTGTCTCTAAGAGGGGCCAGCCCATTCACTAGAGAAGAAGGGGCAAAAGCCCAAAGTATGCACACCTCCCACCCTGGTGTTCCATCCTAGACCCACTAAGATTCTTCAGAAGGGGAAGGAAGCTGGGGGCACAGGGTGCGAAGGGTTGGTGCCAAGGTGCTGGCTTAAGGACCTACCGGGAATCTCGCCGTAGGGGCAGGGGCGGCTCTCGCTGCTGTTTCCGGCGCAGGCGCTGGGCCCTGGGACCAGCTCTTCACAGTGTCGGCTGCGGCTTTGGGCTCCATCCTCCGTGCATGCACTCCACTCGGACCATGGTGACCAGCCTTCTGTGGGTTGTGGACTCGGATGAGGTTAACTGCCCTGAGACCCCCTGAGGGAGTTCAGAGGGACCCAAGGGGCTCCCCAGCCCCGGCGTGATGTTCCTCATACCTGGGCAAGCCTGTGTAGCACACAGCGCCTCCTCTGTGTGCAGACCAAGACAGATGTCCTCGCCTGGGGAGGGCGCGGGGCTGGTGCAGGAACGTGTGCGTTGATAGTGGCCTCCACCACAGGAGGCTGAGCAGGGGGACCAGGAGGTCCAGCAGGACCAGGCACCCCGCACTGCAAGGGGACAGGGTGTGTGAAAGGGGCTGCAGGTGCAGGCAGGGCCTAAGACGCTTCTACCCTATCCCCAGCTAGGCCACTCTGCCCTGGACCACCCTGACTCCATCCTCTGCACCCGCCCTCAGCCCACTGTTAGGGACTGCCCCTTCCTCCTGAGGGGTGCAGGGGGAAATGCTGGCTGCAGAGGAGATACCAAAAACCAACTCTACCTCAAATCAAGCCTCTTATATGGCTAACCCATTAGGGGAGAAAAAAAGTGACAAGGAAGACGAGGAGAGGCCCTGCTCGGTGGGAGAAGGTGCTGTGTCCATGGTCAGGCCACAGACTTGCTGTAGGGCCCACTGTACAGAGTTGGCAAAAAGAATTGGTCGTCTGGGCATGAGGTGTGGCCTAGGGAGTCTCCTTGATGGGGGTTCCCTAAGCGCGGGGTCACCTGGACAAGCCTGGTGGTTACAGTCCTGGTACTCGGCGGCGTCGCCTATGCATGGCAGGCCTCCGCTGCGGGGCTCCGGGTTCGTGCACGTTCTCTTGCGGACGCGGAAGCCCAGCTCGCAGTCCCGGGAGCAGGACGACCACGGGCCCCACGCGGCCCAGCCCCCGCTCACCGAGTGCGGGGAGGGGCCCCCGCTGCGCAGGAGATCCTCCACCAGGGCTGAGTGAGGCACGGGTGGGGAGACTGGCCTCAGTGATGAGCACACCCAGCGGCCCCACTCCTGCCCCACAGGCCTCCGGCTTCTTCCAAACACGATCCACTGCCCCCCGCTCCCCGTAGCCCCGTCCGACTCCCAGCCTCCCCCAGCCCCGCGCCAGCGCTCGGCGCCTGGGAGGGAGCGGGGCGAGGCGCTGTACCGTCGGTGTCGCAGGCTCCGGAGCCGTCCGCGGGGCAGGTTCTGGTCTCCGTCCTCCTCCGGCCAAGCTGCAGGCCGTGGGGGTCCGGCAGGGGAGCGCGGCACGTGAAGCGGAAGCGCTGCTCCTGCCGCGCCCCGCCTTGAGTCACGTTCACGGGCAGCCACGGCGTCCACGGCGTGTTGCGCCGCACTTCCGGGCAGCCCTCGGGGTTGCACGTCTTGAACTCCTTCGGGATGGGAGCGGGTGCTGTGTGGTGGGCCTGCAGCCCCAGGCCTGGCCCGCGCCCCCCGGCCCCCGCCTGCCCTCCCGCGGGGGCAGGTCCTCCGGCCCGCGCGCCCTCATCCCGGCCTCACCACGCCGCAGCCAGGGCAGGAGTTGCCGTTCTCACAGGACCGCCGCCGCGACTGCACGCCGCCCCCACAGTTGCTGCTGCACTTGCTCCAGGAGCCCCACGACGCCCAGAAGATGGGCACCGGGCAAGGCGTGTTTTCGTTACAGAACCTGCGGGGAAGGGTGTGTGGGGGGAGCGGTCATCGCACTAGGGAGCAGGCACCCCCTTCCTTAACAAGAGGTCCCTGGGAGTGCAAGCCTGGGAAGGACAAGAGTCCACCGGCTCACTCGGAGAATCCAGGCCACTTTCTAGGGGGCCCGGCAAGTCTGGGACCGCAGGGCTAGCTTGTCTCAGAAACCTCTGGCCACACGCTCGCTCACCGCTCCTCGCGGCTCTTGCCCACGCAGATGCGGCCCCCGTGGCGGGGAGCGGGGTTGCTGCAACTTCGCTGCCGCACCTGGAATCCGATCCCACAGGACGTGCTGCACAGGGCCCACGAGGACCACGGGGTCCACGCTCCGTTCCTGGTGGGGTCACAGGGGACAGGGACAGATGATCCTCCGAGTCCTAGCTACTCAGATCTATCTATAGCTAGGCAGGTGGGTTTTATATTATTGTCAGTGATACGGAAAATGGCAGCTCCCAACCAGGCCGGCTGTTTATTCGTTCCTGTGTTCATTCATTCCTCAAACATGTGTTGAGAGCCTTTCCCCATATATCAGGCTGTGCTCAGGGCTAAGGGTATAGAGGTAGGACCCGGGGCATGGAGATACTTGTGGGGCAAAAGGACACATTCTCTAGAAAAGGCTCCAGTTGCCTTTGCAATATGCAACCTTTGTTCATCCTTCTTGGTTGTCCAACCCTTGCACTCAATCCCATTCTCTCTTCCCTGTTCTACAACACCCCATGCTTTGCTCCAACCTCAGACACCATTCACTGTTGTCTACTTTGACTCCAATTTTCAAGTTTTGGTTCTATCACTTACTGGCTATATGAGCCTGGGCAAGTTACTGAAAATTTCGGTGCCTCATAAAACTCATCTTTAAAGTAAGGATAATGGGGGCGCCTGGATGGCTCAGTCATTAAGTGTCTGCCTTCGGCTCAGGTCATGATCCCAGGGTCCTGGGATGGAGCCCCACACTGAGCCCCGCATCGGGCTCCCTGCTCCTCAGGAAGCCTGCTTCTCCCTCTCCCACTCCCCCTGCTTGTGTTCCCTCTCTCGCTGTCTCTCTCTCTCTCT